GGGGGGGGGGGGGGGGGGGGGGGGGGGGGGGGGGGGGGGGGGGGGGGGGGGGGGGGCAGTAGATGACGAAGAAGAGAATCAAAGCCGATGGTATGTTTCGCAGCATCTGAAAAAAAGAGAAGGAGGAGCAGATGGCGACAATGAGAACCAAAACCGGTGGGATGGTTCACAAGACAAAGTCCTTTGGCCATGTGACAAACGTATAGCATGCGTTGCGTTGTTTTTCACCACTTTCGCTGTGTGACGTTGAGCAAGAACAGCCTCTTGATCCTATCAAGCACCTTGATCACACACACCACAGCAACCCTTGCAAAAATACTGGTGACGGTTACATCCCGGACCGGTATCTAGTCTTTCTGTGAATGCATGCATGCATTCTCTAAAACACAAGAAAAAAAACTGCCGAACATAATTTTACGTGCAAAAGGGTGTCGGCAATTACCGACCCCCCGCAGCAAAACACACACGCATACCACTGTACAGTACCTGGGTGTGCAGAAGAGGTGGGAGGGTGTCCGACGTCGCCACGGGCAAGGGCTGCGCAGCACCGAGGTGATTCGGTCCCGCCGCCAGCAACGCCCTCACCGCACCCATGTCGAGCTCGTCCCCGTACAGGGCAAGCGACCCGGCCTCGCCCACGAAGCCTTCGCAGAAGCAACACCTGGGTTGCGGAGAAGGGCAGTGGTTGTTGTTGTTGTTGTTGTGACCGCAGTTTGGGCAAGGCGTCGGCGGTTGCGGAGAGGGGGCGGGACGGTGGTCGTTGTTGTGGCCGCAGGTTGTGCAAGGTTAACAAGATAGGCACCTCGACTTAGTTGACAACAGCTTCGGAAGCCTTCCAAGCTCGGCCATGTTTCGACTTTCCATGCTATTATAAATGGAATGGCCTCGACAGCAGTACTGACAGTCAAAACGCCTGCGTCTACCGTATATGACACAAGATATCACACCTCCTTGGACCGATTTTCAAAGCTCGATTATTCCACGACGAAGAGGATGTCTAAATCATATGATGTGTTTTCGGAAAGCTCTTGACGGGACGGTTGCAACGCCGCCATTTTCCTGCGGAGTAATCGAGCTTGGAACATCGGTCCAGGGTGTGAAATCTTATGCGACCTACGGTAGGGCAATGGTACCTCGAGACGCGGCAAGTCCATACGGGAACAAGCACACAGTCCAAGTCATCAAATACCGGTCATGCCACCGTCTGCACGCCACGTGCACAACAAACCACAAAAAATAAACATCCACGACCATTTGCTGTACATCTATCTTTGAACGGGTAGCCTTTCGATGAACACACGCGCGTTCTCAAAAAACAAAGTGAACGGCCGTCCTTTTCCCGCACCTTGACATGGGATCCTTCGAGCCCTGGCCCGTCGCCGGGGGGTACTGGAGCTCGGTGTCGAGAACCACTCCCCCGTCTACCGACACCCTCAGCCGCCCAGACCTCTTCACGTACGGCTGCCCGTGGCTCACCGCGACGAAGCGCCACCCGTCTTGCCTTCCCCCGTCCCCCACGCCGCCCCCGCCCAGGTGCACCGCCTCAGCGGGCGGCCCAAACCTGCAGCGAGCGCTGAAGCTCTTGCGCTGGAATGACGTCACCACTATCTCTCTCCTCCCCCGCGGCGGCGGCGGCGGCGGCTGCTTGCCCGCCGTCGCCGGCGCCGCCGCTGCCCCGGAGAGAGTGGCCTCCACCCCCACGCCTTCCGCGTTGCGAAACCTGAACAAGGTTGCGGCATCCGCGCCGGAATAGGCGGGGTCCAGCCGAACCCACATCGTAACCGTGTACTTGCGGAAGGACGCCCAGCTGAGCATGGGCGGCAGCGCCAGGCGGCCGGGGGACGACACCACGCCCCCGTTCCCGCTCGGTGGACCGGCCTTGGGCGCGTCGAACCGGAACACCGAGTCCAAGCGCACGGTGCCCAGGTGCGCCCGGAGCGCCGAGGCGAACGCCCGGCGCACGCGCATGCTCTTGGGGCCCAGGTCCCCCGCCATCAGAGACAGGGACTTGCGGATGCCGTCTACCCCGGCGCCCAGCCGGCCTGCTCCCAGCTCCAGCAGGAGCTGCAACGGCTCCTCACCGTCGTCTCGTGCTGCTGTAGTATGACCCTGACGTTCTCCAAGGTCCTCGCTTGCCTCCCCCGGGGCAGGCGTTTCTGGTGTTGCCGTGGTGGTGGTTGTGGCCTGGCTGCCGTTGTTGAGTTCATCGGCGGTTTCGTCTACGGCTTGGGGCCGGGGGTCGCTGCAAGAGGAGAGGTTGGCGAAACGAGGGGCTAGCCAGCACGCCGCCCTGAGGCACAAGCCGAGATCATCGCCTGGAGAGAAGAGAGTAGAATACAACGGAGAAGAGAGAGAGTGTGTGGGGGGGTCAACAGTAAATGCTGTGAGATCGTCAATCAGTGCTTTAAGCAGATAACACGATACATCGTTGCAGTTGTAGTTGACAACATGCGCGCCATTGTTATTTTCACTGATTCGACAAGATGCACTACTGCTGTAGTCGTTGTTCGTCTTGTGCCTGGCTTTCATCGCAATCACAGATTCAGAAAAAACCCAAAACGCGCAAGATGTAGTTTTCTAGTGGGAGTAAATACATGGGCGAGTACGCCACTGTTCCACCAGTGATAAGGCGGCGCTCAACATACCGCGTCGGTGTTGTTTCCAATTCTATTTACTGTTATCTCCAACGACAAGACAATGAGGTTCATATATATATATATATTTCTCCCATCATGGGACTCTGTCGTCTGCCCCTCTGGCCCCCATCCTTCACTTCTACCAGCTAGACGACCCAACCGGGGTCACATAAGAGGGGGGCTTGGACCCCCTCCTGCGGTTCCTGCCTGAGATATTTTTATCGCGAGAAGGGTACAGCAATCCATCCCTCGCGACTTATGAAGTCGAACAAGTTTACTAATATGGTCTGCCGGTTCGTTCAACACAGCAATCAATGTGTGCCAGTGGACAGCAGCAGCAGCAGCAGCAAATGATGGCCGTTGTTCTTGCACATAAAAAATCGCTTGAATCAAAAATCGTCGCCTTATCTTCGTTCCGCTTCACAAAGGCGCAGAAACGAACCTTCGGTTGTCACACATGTACGTGACCAAAACAGCGGGCGCTACAAAACTACCAGGAACAACGGGGCGCAACAAGCGTTCCTAACATGGGAGCACACTTTCGGACTGGTACGCTTGCGTATCAGTCCGAAACAAGGTGCCGCAAGAGGAGAGGAGATGGCACCCCACCCCGTAGACCGATTTTCAAAGCTCAATTGCTCCGCAACCAAGCTTGTGCTGCACCAACAACAAAAGTGGCGGTTGTAGAAAGATCTCGTCCAGGGCTTTCCGAGACGTGGGCGCTATTCCGTGCCCGCCTGGTTGAGGAGCAATCGAGCTCCGAGAGCCGGTCTAGGGGCGGGTGTCATCTCTCTGCTCCTTACGGTAATACGCGTGGGTTTCCATGGCCGCATGTCCAGACACAGCGGTAGGTAAATGAAACGACGAGAAAGACTGGTACCTACAATAATAAGAGAAGAGGTGTTTCCGGCAGCGGAGAGTGCACCTGCTGGCACGCGATGAGGGCAGTGAGGAGAGGAATACATCGTACAAGATACGAACACTCAAATTACCCGTTCGATGTCGCGACCCTCGAGATGGCACGATCTTCCCCACCAGGTGTCTGATGTTGAAGTTGCTATACCATACACCAGCGCCTACAACCCGACGAGAGCGCACTCCTCCGCGGTGTCTACATATTTCAAGTGAATCAGCTCTATTTTCAAGAAAGAGGCGAAGGCCGCATTCTTCTGGCACACGTCTTCCAAACACTTCGGGTTGCCTGATACAAACGTGACCCACACACAATGGTAACGGTGCCCAGACAAAGGGTGTGAAAAATAGGCGTGTGTTGTTGCACTGTTGAATTTGCCAAAACTCGACCAAAAATTACTTCATGTATGTACCAAGCACGGCGACCGGTCTTTGAGGTTTCGCGGACTGTTCCTCGATATGCAAGCACTTCAAACATCATTGAGAGAAAATATTTCAGCAGGCATGCACACCAATCGTGCTTCCGACGTCCTTTGGAACCCATCACGAACGGAGTTAGTCGTGTTTATGTGTGGTTTCAAGCAGCGAGTCGCAACGGGACCAGCCTTCGGTTGCCCACCCAAGGAATTTTCACCCGTGTTTACTTGTTGCATACAATAGAAGACAGACGCTTCGTCGGGAGAGGGCGTGGAAAAAAGCGTCTTCCAAGGCAAACAAGACCAAGTTTGAACAACGGCAGCCATGAACGACACCCAGCGAATCAGACGTCCGCAGCCATGAACGACACCCAGCGAATCAGACGTCCACAGCATCAACATTCACCATCCTGCTTCGCTTATGGTGGTCCACCTTATGAAGTCCCGCCAGCAAGGTAAATCTTCATCCTCCTCGCTGCTGATTGCTTCCCAAAAACAATCGAATTCCGACTCCGGCACCAAGGGTAGCGACAGCGAGGATAGAGAGAGAGGAAAGAGGAGCTTGCAATACAACGGACAAACGACCTACCATCTGCCGTTCTAGGAGCCCTTGACTCATGAAGGAACCACTCCACCAGGCTGTCGACGACCCCATCCAGGGCCTCGCGCTCCGTTTCCTCCCCTAGCTCCTGGTCAAGAGTCCTCAGAGCTTGAAGCAACGAAGCAGGCATGGAGGATGCCTGCAGAGCTGCCACCAACGAGAGCTCCATCTCTGCGCCCATCCCGTGCCCGCCTCCCATGAAGCCAACCCCGACTCTGTTCCGCCGTGATGTTAACTTCTTCTCTGTGTGCAAGGGTTCACGATCCCCGCCGAAAGGGTATGTTGCTACCCGTTTTCGACGACGCTTGCTGTACTTGAAGGCTTCAGGTAAGAAGCGGCAGCTGGGGGAGACGTCGAGGGGGTGACGCCAAGGGCACAAAAAACTGGGTACGTGCTGAGGTTCCGCGACAAAAAATGAAACAAATTGCGGAGAGATTTATGTACACAACGCTCGTGAGCACATGAGCACCATGTGAGTAGGCGCGTGCACTGCTGTAGGCGTGAACCCAATAGGCGGCCCTGTGTTATTTCGGCACGTCTGGACGCCACACTTTTGATCCTATAGACGGGCAAGTATACTCTGTTGGGTAGCTCGTGCTTGGAGGTTGCGGAGAAATGAAGAAAGGTTGACTCAAGATCTGAATCCGAATCAAGGCCTGTGCGCTCCACATGCACTCTTGCTGTACACCCTGGGTACCCTGAGATCTTAGCAGCACAGTCGACAGCTCGTCCTGGATCAAATGCAAACCTAGCTTCCGCGATCACTCTTAGGTGCCCATTAGTACGGGTATGCAATAACAAGGCGGTGATGCATCTCTCACTAAACGAGGTAGTGCCCTCCCCGATCCTCAGACGCCCGCTGTAGGTCTGATGATGGCATGATATCACACCCTCCACGACCGAACATAACCTGCGGTGATCGTGGTCGACTTATTAAGCAAACATCAAAGCCTTCCACCGCACGTGGGTCAGACTCTCCACTGTATTTTTCTAGTGGTGCAGTTTCATGTTGCGCGTATCCTGGCCTTGCTGAGGTGGACCGACCGGAATTCGCACGGTGAAGGGTATTGCGCTGCGTGAGACTACCAAGTGCAAACCCCACCTAACCGATGAGTATTCCACAATTAATGGCATAACGAACTACATATCAAGGGCAGCGGACGTAGACACCGCAACGCCAAAACCGCCCGGGATCTCCATACGTGCATCTCGTCGTTTGCATCTCCATACTGTCTACCTCGTCCAGAGAGCCCAGCCTGTCGTTCTGGTCGTTGGACATGTCAGGGTGGAGAAGAACAGTGCCAAGAGAAAATGTCACCGCCGTTCGTTGCTGAATAGACACCAGTACTTCGTGAACGCAGCAACAATAACAACAGTGCTAACGATGACGACGCAAGGGGAAAATTGAATGTCGATGATCGCTTTTCGCCGTCGTCATCGTCTTCATCGGTGGACTGGAGCCACCGTCCGCCTCCATGCCCTCCCCCGTTTTTTACCCCCTCTCCCCCATCCCTGAAGCCCGTCACCCCGCACCCCCGCACCTGCCATTGCCAGCCCTAGAAGCTCCTTCGCTGTCGCTGGGATCTTCGGCGTCAATAAAGCTGTAAGGATTGTCCAATCTTTCCATCGTGACTAATTGAATGAACCATGCACGGTTTGCGCCAATCTACACGTTTCGAAAAGCCGGCTTTGGGTTCTAAGACTCGTCAACACTTACTTTCCATGTGTTCCCCCGCCCATCCACGGCGTGACCAGCGCATGTCGGTTACAGGCTGTGTTGCTTACCAACTTCTCGAGGTTGCCCGACTTTCCGAGCCACCTGTACAGGGAGCTAGTTGCGCAGCTCGCGGTTTCAGTCTGGAACCCACAGACTTCCAGCATTCTTGAGCCTCTAAGCAGCAACTACCATATTTTCTTGCAACCGCCGCTTTTCGGGACAGACTCTCTTCTTCCTTGTTGTCGACAGCCACAGTGATTCATCTGATTTGCGGGTTATTTGTTTGTGGCAAATCCGGAGTTGAGCGCCTGTTCTTGGTATCATTTGCATGTGTTCCAAATGTCTGATCATGGTGCGTGCTGCTGTATCTACCGTGTATAGTTAAATCAACCGTAGGCCGACTTCCAAAGATCGAATGCCCCACCATCAAGAGGGTGCGAATACTACCTATCACTGCATCATGCAAAGCCATGTCTCGATGAGACCTTTCCGAGACCACCCTTTGCGGCATTGAGCGACAGCCGGTCGGTCGTGGAGCACAGGCTGGCTATGAAGAAAGTCAGTCTAGAGCGTGTGATAATCGCACATACTTTTTTGAGGAAGGAAGCAAGTCGGAAAAAATCGAAGACGTCGTGTGCGGTTTTCATGACACGACGACCTACGACGCGATATCCCCTCCAAGGCAACGTCCGTCGGTCGTCGAAGCTCATGTTCATCAAGGAAGTCAAACACTACTGTACATCGTCGGTTTCAACACTACCATATGCGGCAAATATTCTCATACAAAAAGCAGCACACACGGGTCTGCGCAACATGATTTATCCGAGCAGATTTTCGGCGGTTTCGCGGGTGGGGGGTGCGAATGAAAGTTCCACACACGGATCGGAGATATATGAAGCTTCAGAATGATACACGAAATTCCCGAACATCTCCGTAGTATCTAGTGGTGAGTACGCCTAATAGCCCCCATACTCGATACTTGATACGATCTACTGATTCTGCTCATCTTATCGCGCAACTTGGCCGCAACAACTTCAATCCCAAATCTACATCGTCCATCGTTCTAGTTGAAACAAACCTCCTAATATAACGTTGCCTAAGATAACGTTTTCCTCCAACATCATTGATTTTCCAATATCAAGTACTTTTCTTAGGCAATATCAAATCCGCTGAATCGTCCAATATCAAATCGTTTTCCATCCCCTCAAGACGGTACTCTCTCCTAACCTCCAACGCTTCCTATCAAAAAACGGCTCAACCAAACACGGAATCAACGGCCACAACCCTGTCACTGCTGCACCTCTTGATTTTCTCCTCCAAAAATCCCTGCCATACAAAATGTTACTGCAAACATCATAAAGTTCACCTTCTCAGTACTTGTCACGATGCCACAACACATAAAGTATCGTCAAAATCTCCATGACGTCAACGTTCGTTCAATGCGACCCTGCAGAAAGAAAGGCAGGCATGGCATATGTGTTGCTTCAACAAAATTCTATATTTAAACCAGGTTTTGACGTATTGACGAATAGAGAATCATTTCGGAAAGCACATAGCCCCCAACCATTGCAAATCAAAAACATGTCAAATCCTTCCTCCAGAATACACCTTACAAAAAATAAAAACCCTTCCTCCAGAATCAAACTTACAAAAAAAAGGTCTCTAGCTGATGACAAAATTTCCAAACGTCCGGAAACATCAGGAAACAACAGTAGTTATTACGGCTCTAGCACATGCAGCAATATAAAAATAAATATACATCTGTGACTTCCCAGGAAATTCAAACGCATAAATCTGCAAAATATCATCTCCACCAGGTATCGAGCAAAGAAATATCTCGATAGTGCATATAGCATATTGAATGGAAACCACAAACAACCTCATTGTGCTTCGCAGAATTCAAACGACCCCTCGAGTTGTGAGTCATGAGGAACCATGGGTCTTGAACCTGTCGCCCACGGAACCTTCCCGGCAGCCAGGAGCTACAATTATTCCTAAACGTATGCTATGCACAACATGAAAACTTCTGGTGCTGCTACAAGGACCATGGCTCAACACTCCCCCCCCCCC